CCCCCCGCCACACACACACTGTGATTTCTCGCTTTCTGTCTCTCTCTGTTTCTCTGGCAAGGGCATGTGCCCTATAGCAAAAATCTCTCTTAAAAAAAAAAAATGGAACCCTGGACAAATTTGGATGTGCAAGGACAGAGAGGAGGCTGAACTGCTGAGAATGATAAAAAATAAAAGCTGATGTTTGAGTGGGCCCAACAGATAAAAGACAAGGACTCCAGGGCCCAGGAAAAACAGAGAAGAGGTGCTCGGAGAACAGTTGACGGGTAGAGGGTGGAAAGTACTTGGTGAGATTTCTTGCTGTATGGTCTCATTAGCATGGTAATATCTAACATTTCAAGGTTATATTGTTATCTCTTCTGGGCAGCTTTATAATCTTGCTTCAGGCTCTTAAACCTTCAGCAAAAATGAGCTATATGTAGTGGCTCCAGGGGAGATGAAAGGAATGGGCACTTGGCTAGCTTAATGGGAAGTGGTACAGAGAAAGAACTGCTACAGCCTGAGGACCAGGAGGCACTGAGCTGCCATCCAGGGGTCAGGGGTGCTAGGAAAATGGGAAGAAGGGGTGACTGGGAGAAACACAGGTCCCCAGAGAGTCTTCATGATAATGGGTTCCACAAGAAATGGATGAGATCAAGACAAGCTATCCCAGGACTTCAAAAGATTCATGGAAAAATGAATCAAAGTGTGGTGTACAAAACTGTGAAACCCATGCATAGCTTTTCTATAATATGCATCTCCATGAGCTTTCCAAAGACCCCTTATGTTTGACTACAAAGGGAATCTCAGTACTCTGGAAGTGCTCACGCCATAGGCATTTGATGGACTGTCAATCTTAGCTGAGCCTCGGAAGCTTAGGAAGGCACCAGCCTGGGCTTTGTTCTAGTCTGGGGGAGCCCATCGAATGGGAGGGGACCTTTATCAAGCACCTTGAAATCTCCAGGAAATCTAATTTATGTCTCAAAGTAGCTCATGACACTTTCAAAAAATAACTTCATTATTTTAAGTTGTTTTCTTGTATTGCAGGGAAATTAGCTGTCCTATAACTTTTAATCATTAGTTCCAATTCTATTCTTTGGGTTGGCACAGATTTAATTTGGTCCTTCAAGACAATCTCTAAAGACCTTTCTATTTGGGCCCCACCAGATTATAAACTTCTTAAGGGATTTATTTAAATTACAATGACACTGACTCCTAACAGAGGAAGAGAGTCTATTGAATACTTTCCACAGAACTGAGCAAGATCCTTTGCTCATCATTGGTGCTTAAGAAAAATATGAATACATATATAACTGAGATGAACCTTGGAAGAAAATACTTTATTCTCCATCCCCAAATTCTTCTTTTTTTCCCCCCAGATTAGAGGTCAGCAAACTTTTACTTTAAAAGGCTGTACAGGGGGCTGGCAGGTGGTTTGGTGGTTAAGGGTGTTGGACTCCCACATGGCTGACTATAGTTCAAGTCCCAGACCTGATGACTTGCTTTCTCACATTCTCTCTCTCTCCCTCTCTCTTTCTCTCTCACTCTGTCCCTCTCTGGTCAAAAAACTAAGTAAGTAAATAAAGTTAAATAAAATAATTCTTAAAAAAGTAACATTAATGAAAGGCTATACAATAAATATTCAGTTTGGGAGGCCATGTGTGGTTTCTTTTCTTTTCTAAGTTTGTGTATTTACTTACTTTGCTATAGGTGGGGTGAGCTCACCAGAGACAGAGAGGGAAAGTGAGAAAGCACCTCACAGTGGAGATGGCCACTCCACAGTCCCTTTTCCTCTGTTCTCTCGGGATTCTGGGCATGTACTCACATCACCCCATGTTTTTCTAAGCCGCAGGGTCTGAGACTCAAACCACACAGTGAGCCGTGTGGGATCAAGCGCCTAAACCACCACACCACCGGATGGCCCCTGCTATATGTAGTTTTTGAGGCATGTTCTACTTTTGTCTTACTTTTTTTTTTTTTTCCTGCTATCAGGCAGGTACATTCACAGAGGGTG